GGCTCTGGATAGGGGCTGAGCACTTCCAGGGCTGCACACTTCACATCCAGCACCATAAGCACTTGTGCATTTGACCTCAGCTTTACCACATCTCTCCATGCAGCATGTCTCAGTTGATGGTTGAAGACAACTGTATTGCCTCTGAAGACCTGGGATTCATTGAGAGGACTGTTAACAAATGTGGGAAATTGGTAGATTTTCCTTATGCAGGAAAATCAGGGAATCCCTATCTTAGTACCTCCTAGCATGGGTCCAGAAAGGGCATCCAAGCTGGGCACTAGCAAGGTTAGGCTGAAAATGCATGGCCTGTAGCCACCCATCCTGTCAGTTAGTGGATCTCAAAGGGTCTACGACGACTGAGGAAAGACTGCCACCAAGAAAAAAATAAAAAAGCATGACTTATACTGGCAGAGACAAAGCACCCATCTTCCATCGGGCAAGTTATAGTGGGGGTTGGGCAGGCATCCCACCACTAGACCATAGGTCAGTTCAGGCTGGTTCCATTAAACTGGAACTCTGCTGGAGATGTTCATGCTGATATTCAAACTGAGGTGCAGGAAAACATCCCTCCAAATCATCCCCCACCCCCTGACACTGGAACTCTTAAGGTGCAGGTCCTGCACAGGCAGCTGCATCTTAAGCCCAGGAGCTGGGTGACTACATGCCTTTTACACCCCTATCCAGATATATCAAGATTTCCACAGGCTGAATCTGAACAGTCCTTCAAGCAGGACAACACACTCCAACTAAGATCACCTTAGGACCACCAAGACCTTCTGAGAGGACTGAATGTAAAGTACATCTTCTGAAGGACAAAGGGAGTCACAACAAGCACTTACACTGACCCACAACCAACATTTGTCACCTGAGATTTTCCAAAGCTTTAAAATGCCATACCACTATCCTCATACCCTGGCAACAGTATACAAGCCAAGAGGAACATCACTAAATCTGAGCAGCAAGAATGATCAGGCAGGGTCCATATGTTTATATTTCATATCCTCTAATATACTAGAGGGAAACAGAACCAACAGTCCTCCATTTTATAATGTATAAGATTCCTCTTTTCTGCAGGAATGCTGGCATCTTAACATCAAAAGTGTTTCCAGCAGAAACAAAATTAAAACATAAGACTCATGAAAAGTTTCATGGTAGCTGGAAGTTGCCACATCATGGTTCCGTCCCTGAGTCTAGCCCAGGGTCTGTCTATGACAGACACCTTAAGATGTTTCCAGGACAGGCTGCCTAATGCCATTGACCAGTCAGATCTATCACAGGTAAATCTACCCAAGGTGTAACCGCATACAGACATGTCGGAGATAGAAGATGCGCCACAAGCAACATTGCTCTGTGGCTCTTTGTAAGCCATCCTTCCATCTGAGAGCAGCACATTGATGTTTAGGGTTCAAAGCACCAGCACGGTCACTGCAACTTTAGGTTAAGTCGCTAACTTTGGGCACCTCAAACAAGTCTGTAACAAAAAAAAAGCACTCCATCCTCTCCTGCCTAAGGAAGAACCCACTAAGCAGTTCCTTCCTGCCCAATACTTTCAGCATCTGTACTTGTAGACAAGGGAATTCTCAAACCCCTCCTTGATCCTTTGCAGGAGACTAGCAAAGTATAGTACAAAGTCATTTAAAGTGTACAAACTTACAGAGCAATTCAAGTTAGCCATTGCTGTCCCTTCCAAATCTGAGCCCTAGACAAGGGGCTTTTATGAGGTGTTACTGCCTGAGAAATCTGCAGCCCAGCAAAGCTAAATGGCACTTAGAAATTTAAATTCCTAGAGGGGAAAATCATCCTTCCTGACACTGCCTCTCTGAAGGGACATCTTGATCACCTCACCTTGGCACCTGATATCTACAGAACCAGGAGGCAGCTCAATGAAGAACCCACCTGCTGGGAGGTGCTGGGAAGGCTGTCTATCAGAATGAGTCCAAGACCTCTTTCCTGTGGATCTCTTCTGCTTTGAGCTCAGCGCCACTCACCTGTCTGTACTATCTTGGCACAAACACTTCTCATGGGGGTATATCATCTAGGAGTTTTGCGCTGAAATTTCTGACTAAAGTGTAGGCACAGGGCAGTCACTAGGCTTCTTGGTCAAAGGAACATCAATGCAGTTTCTCCACCACAAGTCAAAGAGGTCTCAGAAAGTGTGCCCATGCTTCTGCTCTCAAAAGAGTGAAACCAGCAAAGGCATGGAGCCTGTGTTTCGGTCAGCAAAGCAGAGCCTAAACTTTCATGACATGATGTACATCTACTGGATATAAGCAATAACTAACCACCTGCTGAGGAGATAGTGCCCGGTGGCTAGTTGACTTCTGGGCAGGAGGACAGTCCTCAACTCCATCTACAAGGAAGCAAGGTTAACCTGGAATTGAACAGAACTGCTGTGATTTTCAACACCTGGGCAGACACACAACACCAATACAGCAGGACTTCAGCCAGTCTGAAAACCTATTAGTTGCTTTTTGAAAAGAAGTGGAGACTTTATTTATAAGTTGGCAGAAATTACTAATTCAGACCTGCTGCTATAGAAATTCAAGTATTCCAGAAAGCAAAATTTAGAGCATAGAAACCACTTTTCCATTGAGAAGGAGATGGTCACTTCCCTAACTTTTCAGATAATTGTGGATACTAGGCCAACTCCCTGACATTGATATTTTTAAGCAAAAGCTAAGTTTATTAACCATAACTGCATGCCTACAAAGTAACCACATGACACAATTCTCTGTAGCATCGTTCAAAAGAGGTTTAATTTTAGTGTTGGCTTTTCAACACTGTCCCCATTTTTTTTTCCATGAGCATCTTAAATATGTGTCAACTAACTATCCAGAAGTGAAGTTCATAACTGGGCAAGGTGGACAAGGGCGGCTGTATACTTAATGCCTTGCAGGACTCATTCATTCCCACCTGAGGTCAGCTGGTTGGAGAGAAACTACAGACAGTCTGCACCAGTCAGCCTGCAACCTATTCCACTTGCTGAGCTGAACATCTGTGAGGTTTGTTCCCAGCTGCATTGGAGCTCTTGCTCCTGTCACCTGCTTTTAACAACGTCACTGATGGTCTAGGATAGTGGCTACACTTAAAGGAGGTACTTTCCTCATTGCTCATATTTCCCAATTCCATCCCACACTTGGGTGAATAGAGCACATCACTAGAGTCCCCCAATTCTATACCAAGTAACCTAACTTAGGGCTTATGTTCCAAGCAAAGCGCCAGCATACCCAGATCTGAGGTCTGTTCCCTCCTGTTACTGGCTAACCCCTCTACCTTCTCCCCCTCCTCTCCTATGACCCTTTAGATGACAGCCTTACAGAACTCTGGAATCCCTGAGGTCACTGCCCTACCTTATCTACAACATCTTGACAGGCTTGTCAAAGTGGCTCCTGATCCCAGTGCTCTCCCAGGTGGCATTAAGGATCAGGACTACTATCTCAGCAAGCTCTCAGATTCCCCCCAAAGACAAGGCAGCACGTGGATTTCAAAAACTGCACTCTGATTCCACAAACCTACCAATGCTACATGTTCATGTCACTTGTTTTATCCTCTAATATTTTGAGTCCTGGGAATTGCAGTGGCACCAGTTACAGCAAAAATTCTGGAAGGTTTTATATAGCTATGCCTATTCCACCCCCAAAGTTACAACAAAAATGTATACAACATTTGTTAAAGGCAATTTCCAACAACTCAATTTTAAGGGAGCCTGAAATCCAGAGGTAAGAGAATGACTTATGATACAGAAATTAGACTCTAACAATGATCATAACTCCTCAATGTCTACAAAAAAAATGTGTAAGCCAATGTGAATTATTTCAAAAATACCAAACTAAAGCATACAGCTAAGTGTAATCAGCTAAGCTCACAAAAAGGAAAACCCCCCACAGAGAAAGAAACCAGAATTACCAAGCCAAGCCCAAGATGATTTTTTCCTTCCATTCCCAATATATTAAAAAGAGATTTCAACAAATTCAGGGGCTCACTTCATACCTGGATGCCAAAGTATCTTCCTAATGTTCAACCTGCTCTTGCCACAAGGAGAAATGAGCCCTCTGGCCAAGAACCCCTTGAGAAACTATGAGAACAAACTGAATCTTCCCCTACAAACACTTTAGAGGAGTGAGAGGGAACGGGAGGTCCCTCTGCAAACAGCTGCCTCAGTGGAGAAGCACCTGAAAAAGCAACAACCAGGGTTAACCCTGACAGTCTAGGTCACAAGCCACCAGGCTGGGCCCCCAGGCTGGGGGAAGGGACAGCGGAAGCAAGGCTCTTGGGGGAAGGGGAGAGAAAACAATCATCTCTAATTCAGACAGAGCAATGGGCACTTAGGCCCAGAAAGGCAACAGGAAGAATCCCACCTTCCCCATGATCATCTTCCCTTGGCAGAGACCCCAAGAGGGACAGGGCAAAGGCATGTGGAGTGGCAGGATCCAGGAGAACTCTCCCAGTGCCCTCGGCACCGGTGGAGTAAAGCAGGCCTGGGGCTTCCCTCCAACGCCAAAAAGGTGCTTCCAGCCTAGAGAAGAGGCAAATAGGTCCTTCCTGATCACCCAGGAGGCCGAGATGCGACAGGCACCAGCTACCCTAGTCATACCCCGGCCACCAGTTGCTCCACAACCTCTCTCTCTCCGCCTCCCGCAGGGAGGGCTTCCCGGGGGTCGCGGGTCCCCTGGGGAGAGAGAGGCGGGTGAGCTCATTCAGGAGCCGCAAGTGTCGTTGAAGCTGGAGTGCGTGGAGAGTAAGAGCTCCACTTTGGGCCCCCGTCTGCTCCCTTCGCCAAGGCCGCACGGAAGCCTCGGCCTCACGTACTAAACGCCGCCGGGCTGGCCTCCATGCCCCTGGGCAGGGCTCGGGGAACGAGAGGCCGGGATGGCAGCGGCTCTCAGGGGAAGATGGGAGCCGGACAGGTCCCCCTGAGCCCAGGGGTCGAGGGGCAACGGTGAGGGGGAGGGTCCCAGGCCCACGCGGCCTCCGTCCCAGCGCCTGTGACTGGCACTTACGTTGCTCTGGGGGTCGATGGCCTGCAGCAGCCGGTCCCTGATCTGCTGCGGAGACGCCGGAGCCGCTGTCATTGCCTGGGCGAGGCGGGGGGGAGCGGCCGGGCCGGCGGGCGGGCGGGCTGAGGCGGGGGACGTGGGTCACTCACTCGCCGGCCTCCGGGAGCGGAGCCTCATGTTCCCCACAGCGCCGGGGTAGGAGAGGGCGCGCGGGGGTGGCGGAGAGGGGAGCCGGGGCTCGGGGCCCGGGGCGCCGCCGCCACCGGAGGAGGAGGAGGAGCCGCCGGAGCCGCTGCCGCTGCTGCCGCCGCCTCGAGAACCAAACTCCAGTGAGCTGCCCCCGCGCGGAGCATTCTGGGTAACCCGCGCCGCACGCAAGCGTCGGCGCCACGCTGAGGAGGTTGGGAGATAGGGCGGGCCTAGGCAGCAGGCCTAGGCGGGGCCTCACACGCGCCCCGCCCCCCCCCCAAACTCTGCGCATGCGCGCGCAGGCGCATTAACTCACAGCCCTGCCCTGCCCTGCCCTGCCGCCCGTTCGGGGAAGCCGTTGGGAGGCGGTTAGGCGGGGCAACGGTTCTCGCTATAAGCCCCGCCCCCTGCTCTGCTAGAAAGCTTAAACGTGCCCAGCGCTCCGGGCCCCTGAACGCTGGGCTATGGGTGGGGTGGGATTTCCCTCAAGAGTAAATAGGCCATCCCCGCGCGGCGCGGACAGAGAGCACCGAGTCTTGGGCGAGGGGAGATGCCAAGCTTTCTGGGCGGGGAGCCGGTGCCAGCCGCTCGAGGCAGTCCAGGGAGTGAGAGAGACCGTCCACGTCTAGGTGCGGCGTGCGGAAGTGTTTACACGCTCGCTGGGCGCCGAGAGGCCCCGGGCCCTCCAGGGGGCGTGGGGGCAGAACAGGGATCTGCCGCTCCTGGAGCCCCAACAGGAGCCAGTAAAACGCGTATTGGAGGAACCCCCACCCCACCTGCGGGAATCCCAAAGCCACCGTCTTGGAGCTGACCCTCAGATTGTAAACCTGAATTCCACCGGGAACCTCAATTCGGGCGCCCTCAGTTGTAGGGGCGTCCTACGCGGAGCAGGGTGTGCAACAGCATCCCTGGTCTCCACCCACAAGATGACAGGAGTATCCCCTCCCCCCGCGCAATCCCGTCTTCTAGGAGCACCTCCTTACAGGGCAAGACGACCTAAAATGACCCTGGCCATTGCCAGATGTCTCCTGGTGGGCAGAATTGCATCTGAGAATCACTGGTACCACTCTGCTTTGCGTGTGGTATTGGATAGCTGAAACCCTCATTGTCTGGACCAAATGTCTCAAGAGGAAGGTGAAACCCAAGGTGATCCAGAGTTAACCCAAAATTGTCACATTCAAGGGTTTCCCCTCTCCACCTTATTTCATTTTGGGGCAGGCTCCTCCAAACCTCCTCCTGTTAGAAATCCTGTCATGAGAAGGGGTGGATGGATTAATAGCTATGTTAGGAAATAATAATTTCCCCTAGTTGTTTTGGGAGGATCCAGATTTAAACCAGGAGAGGCTGCCAAAGATACCCACACGTGTACCTGGTTACACCTGTCAATCTTACATTTGTCATGGTTCTAGAAAGTTTTATTTGCAGAAGGGGCTATTTCCACACGTGGCTGTGATCACTTGCATCTACACATGTGAAATGTTTTACATCACACTTGTCAGGGAAAACAAATACTGCCAAAAACAGTTCTCTTTAATTTCCTGACCTCCCTCTTAGAATGCGATGCTTTGTGTGCATGGTTCAAGTTGGAAAACAGCCCATCTGGAGATACTCTATCTCTCAAGATAAGTAAAGTAAACTTTTCTCCCAAGCATATTCCGGTCCGATCTCTGTATTTCTAGATCAGATGTACAATAACTCATTTTTCAAACCAAAGGTTACAAAGAATTAAGCAATGTTTTGCAGGTTTCAAGTTACTTAAGAACAATCTGAAAAACAATTTACTGCCTTTTTTTTTTTTAAGATTTATTTATGCATACACGAACTGGGGTACAGGCCAGAGGTGCAGGAGGGTAAGAGGATTCACTAGAGAGCAGAACAGAGACTGAAATACATTGGGCAGGTCAGGAGAGGTCTGCTGCACCAGTAAGGGTCACCTTACTGGTCAGGGATCAAACTCGTGCTGCAGAGAGCTTCATAGTGCTGTGCTTTAACCCAATGTGCCACCAAGGAGGGCCTAACTTACTACTACTTTTAAACTAACAAGGAACACTAGGATATCTGTGAGCTCTACGAGGTCATCGATACACTCTTTTGTCCCCAGTACACAGAAAAGTGCATGTTAGGCCCTCCCTGGTGGCGCAACAGGTTGGGATGCAGTACTTTAAGCTAGCCGCAGCCACTTCAGTGTGAGTTTGATCCCCCGCCCTGGAGGTGATCCACATGATGTGGCAGACCTCTCCTGACCCGTCCACTGCTCCCCTTAGCAGTGTACTTCATTGATCTGTCGGTTCTGCTCCCCACTCTCTTTGGTGAATCCTCTCGCTGCCCTTGATCACTCTGGCCTGTACCCCAGTTCTGTATGCATAAATAAATCTTTTTTAAAAAGTGTTAAATCTTTGTGAAATAAATGAACATCTTCAGATGCAAATACATAGCATCTATATACACACACCCAGACATCTATAGGCAAAAGAGTTCCACAGATCTGGTAGGCTAGGGTTTAATAATGAACTTTATTAAATATAAGAAATACTGGATACACAGGATGCAAATAGACACACAGAGATATAGTTTTATTCCATATATTAAAAAGGTTCTTGTAGTAGTAAAGAGAAGACTTAACAGGAATCTTGAAAATGTTAGCAGCTTCTTCTAGGTGCTGGATAGAACTCTTGGTGAGGCCCCCCCAAAAGAGGAAAAGAGAGGAAGTAGCTGAGTCCATGACTATCTCTTTGCCACAGGAAGGTTTGTTCCAAGAGCCTGAGCAAAGAGCATCCTTAGCCAAGTGTGGCAGGGAGGGAGCAGGCTTCCGTCTCCCTAGACAGCTACAATGGCCCAAGCATAACAAGCACAAGCTTCACAGAAGCCATGAGCAGATGGCTCACAACTTCTCTGGATACTCAGTGGTGATCAGGAACAGTAGTAACACACTGGATTCACTAGCCCCTCTGTCTACAAAGTTCCTGGGAGTTGGGAAACTTAAAGAGGCAAGTTACTAGATTTATCCCGATGTGGTATGTGAAGGATTTGATGATTACAAAGAAAAAAAAGGTAAGCCAATTTACCACCCCACTCCGACCTATATGTTTGTTGCATTTAATAGTCTGGTGGAAATTTTTTAAAAACATTTTCTCATTTACTAACTCATTCAGCCATATCAATGATGCCTGTACTGCTTCAATGTACATTTGAGCTCTAGAAGTATCTAGAGATTGGATTCCAGATTACTGTTTGATTTTGCAACAAGTTCTGTTTAAAAGTAAACCAATTTCAACTGATTTTGAACAGCCCTGACATGTTGCTGCTCTTAGGAAGGGATTCAAAGATAAGCAAGCAAACTCAAAACAGTTTTTATCTGTCTCCAAGCTGGGGAATACAAAGATGCACAAAGCCTGCTCCAGGGATGCATTTCTGCAGCATTTCTCCTGAGAGCATTTCCATGTAGTCATACCCTCTGACCTGATGTTTTACTAAAAATTCATCCAATGGAAGCAATCAGATGCAGATAAATGTGTGCATAAAAGGAAATTCATAGCAGTATTGTTTATAGGGGCACAAGACAGGAAAGCAATTTAAGTTGTAACAAAGGGGTATATAAATAAAATGGGGTTCAGTTCTCAAAAAAATGAGGTGGTTATAACTGGGAGGGGCCACAAGGTTCTCAACCTCTTTCTGGATTGTAGCCTTATGAGTATGCACATGTAGAATTCACTGAGTTGATGTTACTGTAGGTTAAATTTTAGTGATCAATAAAAGGATATATAAAGACAATCATCTAGTCACTGAAAATCAGCACTGAACATGGCCTCCCTGGTAGCCTAGGGGTTAAGGCTCAGTGTACTACCATCCCAAAGGCCAACTCTGATGGCCTGAGTTTGACCTGCCAAGGAGCTGATCCACATAGAGCAACAGAGCTCTCCTGTCTCACCCACTGTTCCCCTCAGCAGTGTATTTCAGTAGATCTGCCTGTTCTGCTCTCCACTGTCTCAGGAATCCTCTCACCCCTTCCCCACCTCCAGCCTACACCTCAGTAGTTCTTTTTTGTAAGTAAGCCCTTTTTAACCTTAAAAAAAGAAAACAGTATTAAATAACATGGGAAAATGCTCCCAATTTAACACTGAGTGATAAAATGCAGTATATAAACTAAATACATTAAGATCTTAATTTTAGTTTTACACACACACATGTGCACACACATGGTGCTTTGAAAAATATACTGAAACAAAACCAAAATATTTCTATTAGTTATCTCTGATGGACAGAATGACAGGTGAGTTCTGTCATTTTCTCTGTAGTTCCACATTTTCTAGAATGTTTGTTTCATTGTAATGAAATGCCTTCTAAGCCTCAAGTCCTGGTGTTATTATGCCCACTATTAACTTCTGCTCTCACCTTCTGACTCCAATCCAAATCCTGACCATGGATTTGCTATGAGGGGACTGATGGACATCTTCCTAGTCCTAAAAGTCTGTTTATCCTGCTGGCCCAGGTCTATTATTCTTAGTAATAGTGAGAAGCACTACAGAGAGTAACATGTATTGAGTGGACACATTAAAAAAAAAGTGTCTGGCCCTCCCTGGTGGTGCAGCGGGTTAAAGCACTGCACTGAGAAGCTAAAGCCACTTCTGCATGAGTTCGATTCCCGCCTGCCCCGGAGGAGACCACATGGAGTGGCAGACCTCTCCTGACCCGCCTGACCCGCCCGCTGCTCCCCTCAGCAGTGTACTTTGTAGATCTGCCTGTTCTGCTCCCCACTCTGTCTCTGGTGAAGCCTCTCACCGCCCCTGAGCCTCTGGCCTGTACCCCAGTTCTGTATGTACAAATAAATAAATCTTAAAAAAAAAAAAAAAGTGTCAATAGGCAGTTTTGTCATTGTGTGTGTCACAGAGTATAACTACACAAATCTCGTTGGTACAGCCAATTGGGACCACCGTTGTATATGTGATTCTTTTTTGACCTAAATGTTGTTATGCAACAAATGACAATAATGGATGCTTTAAGCCACTTAGCATGGGAGGACATATGTTACCCAGCCCTAGCTAGCTGAAACACAGTTGCTACTGTACAGTTAAGTCCTCATTTAAAGTCACTAATAGGATCTTTGAAACTGC